AGCAGTTAAATTCCCCAAAGATTCATACTTCCATGAAGCATGGTACTGCTAAGCTCAGGGCTGGCTCCAGGCACCAGCTGAGCAAGCTGGTGCTTGGGGCGGCAGATTGTTGGAGGCGGCATTCAGCCCAATCCTAGGGCGGCACGGCCGCTTTTTTGTTGTTGTTGTTCTGCTCCAGCCGCCCTGTAGGGGGCGGCGGCGGCGCAGAGAACCAGAGCGCCCTGCAGGGCAGTCCTCTTCCTTCCCTCCCCGCCGACTGGAGCAGAGCCCTCCTGGCAGGAGGCAGCGCAGTGGGAGGGGCCGCGTGGCAGCACCCCTACTGTAGCCCTGGCCACCCCCTTCTCTCTCTCTCCCGGCCGCTCCCTCCTCCTCCCCCCCAGCTGGTCCCCCTGCACCTGCGCTCTGGCCGCGCTGCAGGTTTTTTTTTTTTTTTTTTTGCTTGGGGCGGCCAAAAAGCCAGAGCCAGCCCTGGCTAAGCTCATTTTCCAGATGGAGAAACTGAGGCAGAGCAAGGGGCAGTGACTTGCCCAAGGTCTCTCACTGAATTATCAGCAGAGCTACGAAGAGAAGCTAGGACCCTTGACTACCAGGACCCTAGTCTAACCGTCAGACCCTTCCTTCTGTTGTCTGCAACAGCTCTAATATAATCAGAGGATAGTTGGGAGTTTCTTCCTCCTTTTCAGGTGGATAGAGTAAATCTTAGCAATTGTGAACATAGACTTGAGCTTCAATTTCAAGTTTCCAGGACTGCAGTCACAGCGTGAAACACGCCAGCCTAAAATCCAAGTGCAAGAGAATTTGAAATCCACTAGGGGCCATAATGATCCCACGATTTTTATTTCACATCAGGACTTACAAGCCCGGCTTAGGCTTGACATGTGGAAACAGATGAGGTCATGTGACAATGGTTTGAGGAGAACATGAAAGCGGTCCCATCCCACTCCTCCTCCTCCAGGCTGATGGTAGAGATAACCCTGTGGGCTGCCACCTCCCAGCCCCTTCCTGAGTGTCATTATTTCAACATCTAGTCAGTGCCGGGAAAACAGACGTTTGGCTGCTGGACGGACTCGTTGGGACCTGCGAGAGGGAGGGACCGGACGCACTTACAGAGAAACATTCCAGTGTGGTGAGATGGGGAAGGGGTGGATTGCAGAGCGGAGGAGAAAGGGAGCCCAGTGCTGAGGACAGAAACACACCTGGGAGCGCATGCGAGGAACTGCTCCCCTGAAAGCAATGATGAGGGGCTCAGCAAGGCTTCTGCTCTGAAGGGCGGCCTACCACCAGGGCCGGCTCCAGGCACTAGCTTGCCAAGCTGGTGCATGGGGCGGCCACTCCAGAGAGGGGCAGTAGGTCGAGCTATTCAGCAGATGGTCCCTCACTCCTGCTCGGAGCGAAGGACCTTACACCAAATTGCCACCGCAGATCACGCTTGTAATCACGGTCTTTTTTTTTGGTCTGCTTGGGGCGACCAAAACCCTGGAGCCGGCCCTGCCTACCACGCGTTCCATTCCTGGCAGGGCGTGTTCAACCCCACGGCTTACCCCTCTATAACAACGGGTCACATGTGGAACTGGTTTATTAGGCAACACTCTGCTCTGAAGGCTGGTCGTCTCCTCGCTGCAGCCCTGCCCTGAGCTATGCTGAAGTCAGAGTCCCATTGACATGCATGGGCATCGCCTGCGGAGGGAGCATGGGCAGGCAGCTGCCAAGCCCCCTGCCACCAGCTGTTTCATTCATCTTCACAGTCAGCTCCTCCCCAGCCAGACGGGGCCTGGTGCCAGGGGATATGGCCCATTTTTAAAGCTCTGCCAAGCAACAGCTTCTATCCCTCCATTTACATGGCTCTCCTCAGCGTAACATCCAAGGGAGCCCAGCCCCTCATGATATTTTGAGCCAGCGGGGCTCCCTTTGGTTACACTGCGGTGTTAGGGATGGGGCTTGGGGAGAAAAATATCTACTGGCCTTTGCTCTTCTCCACCAGGTCAGAGGGATAAACACGGGGATAGCCCAGGCAATAAGGAGGGGGTGCAGATTGTGTGCCTGTCTCCCACCCCTCCTTTTCCCTACTGATCTCAGGCACCATTTAGTCTCATGGTGACGGGCTGAATTACGAATAATTTTAAAGGAACAAGCTCTCTCACTAGGAGAGGACACGGAGAAGGGGCTTTGGATTGGAGTCAAACAGAATGAAGTTACCAGACTGCGATCGCTCACCCACCCACACTCTGCCACTGAGCCCGTTTGTAGATCAGAGTCATTTGTTCTGAAGAGCTCTCACGCTGCATTGGCTGGGACTATTGTTACACCAGCCTGGAGAGCGCTATGCAGGGACAGACCTGGTGAGTGAACCACTGTTTTCCTTAAAATAATGCACTGCAAATGCTGAGGGCTGACTCAGAGGCTCTGGCTGCACGAGGAAGAAAGGTTACCCCCCCACATACATTAGGTGCCCCCAGGTGTTTTCCTGGACTTACTAATGGGAAAGTTATAAACTACTGTGACCATTAATTTAGGCTCTAGCACAAGCCCCCTTACCATACGCACAAAGATCTCTAACCTGTTTTTGCAGGTGCTTTAAGCCCAGGCTAGCTGACTGGGTGGGGGAAGAGCGGGGAGGTGAGAACCAAGGCTCTGCTTTAACTCAAGCTAGAACCCACCTACTTTGCAGTAAGGA